TGGACAGTACAATGAAATACACTCGCTGCCTTACGAGTCAGTGATACCGATGCATAAATCAGCCCATATGGTGGAATGAACATGGGCATTATCATCAAACATGTATGATGGTTGATGGTTCTCAACATTCTATTGACATCTATCCAAGCTAAGCCTCTAAGGTGAAAGATTTAGGAGAAATAATTGGATCAGTTATCAATTATTTGCACAAAAACTCTAACAATTCTGCGAAAACGTTGGGTTTGGTGATGGGTTATATCCTCAGTACTGAAGGCTATACAATTTTTTAACCGTTAGGAAAATTAACTTTAATTTGCATTACTATGTGGCAAGGTAGTCTTGAGGTAATTTCCAGCACTGATCTTGTTCTTACTTGTTCGGCACTTTTCTATACAGGCTGTTTCAAGTGAAACGATCATAACCCATGTATTTTCGTTTTGAAAGGCACCAAATTTAAAATTAAAAAGTTTAGTCCAGTTGCAATACAATGAATTACTTGTTAACTTTGCTTGCTCGAGTTCTACTGAGGAATATTGGCCATCAGTTGTTTTATGAGGACCTCAGGAAAATGTTCTCTAATATGACCCTGAGGCTTGGTAAGAAGTTATTATTTGCAGCTATAGCTGAATTAATTTGCTGCAATGACATTTTTGAAATGAATGAGAGACAGTTGATTTCATTTTCATATTTTTAATAAAAATTTAAGGTGACGTGGTGGGCATGGCCATCATGGCCTCCGTTAAGGAGTGGCCTCTCCCTCCTTAGTTAAATAATTTTTTTTTATTTCTTTGAGAGAAAAAAGAAAGAAAAAATTAATTAAAAGTTCTGATAGGGCAACGCAACCTACAAGGAGATGTTACCTAACTGCCAGCTATACTCACAAGATCTAAATAAATAATTTATAGCCCTAAAATCCTAATTTGTATTATCATGGATTTTTATCTTTGATACAATGCCTACTTACTACAGCGGTGGCCCCATGATCCGTATGCAAAATATTCGACGACCCGGATGATTGTTATTGGGCGTGGACGCACATCTTTGGTCAGATATGTAACAAACACGCGCCATTGCGCGAGATCAAGGTCAGACGCCAGTCTTTACCCTGGGTTATAATCCGCAAATACGCCATCTGATGAATTTACGCAACAAACCTCTTCCTAAAGCAAAACTATCTGACGATCAAGAATTGTGGGAAAAGTATCGCTCATTAAGAAACAGGGTTACGCATGACGAGTTTCCAAATGCAAGTTCTACGGTGATCTTTTTGACAAAGTGAAGATTATAAGTCATATTGGAAGTTGGTCAAAAAGGCTGCTTACAGCTACAAAAATGTTACATTTATTAGCTGAGGAAATCCACACCCAGATACGTAATTCCGTGTGAGGTTCAAGATTCACTCACGTTCTGCAACGATTCGTGGGCACTAATTTCCTATGAAACATGGCTTTCTTGACAATCAAGCTGCTAAGTTCCTACGCGCTTAAACGTCCTGCAAATACCTAGTTTCATACATCACTGCTCGCAGAACTAATCTGATTACTCTATGCCGCTCCCAATTACATGTTACTTCTAATTGTAATGTTGACTCTGTACTTTAACGGTAACGAAATTACAACTCACTTAATACACAACTAAATTCATTAAAGAACCAAGGAAATCAATGATTGCGTTTACTTTCACTAATTCACCAATATTCCCCCAGCAACAAACCGGTCTAGCACTACCAATTTTCTCGTCAGGCGACACATTTTTGCCAATATACTTCCATGAAAATTGCTTTTAGCGTCGCATACCCTCTATCTGATAAAATCGAATCTCTTCAACACAAATCATCCATTTAAAACGACGAATACAATCTAAATAGAAACGTTGCTTTCTCTCATTTGCGATGCTACATTTAAAATGTACAAGTAAATTCTTAATCAGTCTCTAAGAATCAAACACCATTTATAAGGGCCCGGGTGCACTAGGCAAATTTTGTTCATTATACGGAAAAATCTGTCATCTTTTCAGTGAGACAAGTGCGCCCAGTAATTTTTTATCCTACCAAATTTGCGAATTGTTATCAGTCTCGAAAGGCATTGTTCTCCTGCTTCGGAGCAAGACAAATTTTTGTGAGGCGCGAAATCTGATGGATGTTTCAATCTACGAGCCAGAACATAAAATTAAGAGCGTGTAAATTTTATTTGCTGAACCTACCTTTGAGACTGAGTACGTCTTTCGTGCCCACCGAAGAGCACATACTTTGGCGTAAAATACCGTTCAAAATTCAGTCAGGGTATTTCCTTATCAAAAGTCAATTTTCATGTTGGAAATTAATTAACAGGGTCTGTTATTGTTGACCTTTTTCTGACTTCCTGATTTCCCGTGTCTGATATTATTTCCCATGTTAGGACAAAATATTTTGTCTCATTTGCTGTGCTTTACATTTATGCTCGAGTCCTTAGATCATTTATTACAGTGATCGAATCTGAAATTGGTCTCATTGCCGGAGCCTGATAGTTTCCTGAATTGACGAGTCTGGAAATTGCAGAGTACTCTCCTACCCAGACTTCTCACGGTACAAGGTAGGGATAGATTTAGATAGGTAATGAAAATCGTAAAACAATAAAAAGACCGCAGTTAGTCTTTTCTTTTGACTTCGCGCATAATGTAGAATTAAAAAAATTACCAGTGCCAGAAGCGTATTGATTAAGATCAAATTAAAGAAGCATTTCTCCATTTTCTCGCAATAAATGAAGAAAACCTTGTTTGGTATCCACGGCAATTGTGGCAAGATTTTGAAAGTATTATCACAGTTTGTCAAGTTATCGTAGGAAAATATCACTGAAAAAGGAATATATCAAAAACCCTGCATAATCGAACTTTTCACTAATCAACTCGTGCTTTAATAACATGCTAGTAGAGCATGTAGTAGTGGATATTTGGTCGTAAACTGAGTTTTTAGAGCAAGGAAACTTGTAGAGTAAGATAAACTCAAACCAAAAGAGACTACAGCTATCCTGCCACCACAGTTTATTATTCACTAAGTGTTGTCCATGTTTCATTAATGAAATGACTAATCACATCCTTATCATCGAAAACAAAAAAACTTGATCTTCTTGCATTAAATGTTTGAGAAAAAGATAAATAAAAGCCTTTTAAAGCGATGCTAACATGAAATCGAAAGGAACTAAAATGAGAAATCCGATCGGATCGGGGAAACGCCGAAAAACAATGAAATTATCTCTTGTCTATCTTATTTATAATTTTAACACAACGTCAGAAGTCATCAGCAAATAGTTCAAATTTGGCTCTAGCGATTTTGGAAATCAAAGGCAATGGAACTCTTGTAGCCCATCGTATAATTTGACCATCTTAACGAAGCTGTCTCCTTATCACAAAAAGAAGAATACCCAAACCATGTTCATGGCTATGATGCCATTTTGTTTTCACAGTGCGCTGTATTTTTTTTTTCTTTTCTCGCTAACGTCATACTCGCTTAGCTATAGATATATGGAAATATTAAACGTTATCTGAGGATACCTTGTCGGCCATACAAATGTTATTCCTAGCTTATTTGGAAATTAACAATATACTTTTTCGTTGGTTCAAAAATATTCACTCTTGCGATGCGGACGGTCATAGAATAAGCTTTCATTTTGATGTATATCAGTCTGAGAGAACACTGCATCGCAGTCACTCAACCTAAGGTAAAGGTGTGTCATATGTTCATTTCATAACTGACAATTTACAAAGAAAAGGAAAGTCTCAATAAATATTTCCATCAAAAGCCACCCGGTGTTTCTCTTTGCCTCTCCATCCAGCGTTGCCAGGGCAACCTCAGTCTCGAAGGTCTCCCCTTCCCGCAGGCGGAGATCTGGCTCCAGTTCAATGATGACTGGGTTTGCCAACCCGATGACAATTCCAAAACAAAAAAAAAAATTAAGAGGTTAAATGTTTTTGTATTAACACACACACTGAATATGAAAGCGAACATCACAATAACGAGCACTACTTGAGCCTTTTTTTCACTATTGCTTAAGTAGTATTCATTACTGCGATGTTAATTTTGATACTCACTTTTTTAACAGCAGTTCACATATATGATTTCCATGTATTCACAGTCACACACACACACACACGCACACACACACGCATGCACACGCATATATATTATTAAACGTTGGGCTGCATGTGTAGTATCGCTGAGTATTTTTACAAGTTGTGCCGTATTTTGACGAGCCCTAATGTTTATAAGAGTGAACAAATCACTCCGAACACGTGCGTGGAATGATTAATTATTATGGAAGGAATGAGATAGCAACCTTGGAAAACAACTCAGAAACCGTGGCCGTACCTAGGAGCCTCTAAGTTTAACAGGTCAATGTTAAAATCTCCACAGACATGGAGTTTTTTCAGTAACAATTAGATTTTAACGGTTTTTTCAAAATTGCTTTGAAAACGGTATGGAGAGTTTTGATGGCGACATATGACACCTCAAAAGAAATTTTAACCTGAAGAGCTTGAAAAGCCTCATTAGAGGTTCTCTCTAACCTATGTAATTAGCGTTTCGTCAAGAAACATTCCGACACCTTCAAAGGCAAGAGGTGTCGGAAGGTATACAAATTCATAGCCTGGTATCGTTGGACAGCAATCGACGGGATTTAAATTGGTAATTTTGATTTCCGAGATTCCAATAATATTGAAGTGGAAATTTAGTTAATCAAAGGGTTGAATTTGAAGATTTTTCTAAATTAAGATGTATACATTATTATTATGGAGAATTTATTTCGGATGAGAGTGAGCGGTTCGCCCACATGTTGCGATTTCAAATTATCCTGCGAAGTTGGTACGGGACCAAGGTAACTTGAATGATTTAAAAGAACTTTTTTATGTATTGAATCAAAAATGAATATTACGCAGCTAATCTCTAATTGACATGTTTATAACCACAGTAAACATCACCTTTTTGAATAAATTAGGCTCTAGAACATTCTTTTGGTCTGTAAATTAAGGCTTTGCATTAGCAAAATGATTATCTTGCGCCTCTCTATATTTTTTAGCTTTATTCTGGTGCGGGTGTGCTTTGTGTGTAACACATTCGTGTTAAAAACAAGTGGAAAATTATCTGTGAGTGACATCAACAAGAGAAGCAGTTTAACATCAGGTAAATGTTAGGTTGAATATTTCAAATAGCCTCGTATCTACACGTGCAATTTTTAGTTATTTTTCGCAAAATTTTTCGGTAATAACAAACAGACGTACAACTGAATGGGAAAAAAAGTTTGTCTTTGCGTTGTATATAATAAATGTAAACTATCCAAGGGCTGTGGGATAAAATTGATAACGAAGCAGTAGGCATTTACCATTAAGCAATTTGTCCTTTTTCATCGATGTCATTTTGTTTTTTACGCATCTGATGACGATTATTGTGAACAAAATCACAATAATTCAAGATTTCAAAGATGTCTGAATCGTCATTCTATGCCAAAGTGTTAAATTGGAGGCTGTTGTTTTAGTCATTACGCAAACAGAAGAAATTTCATGGTGCGAAGGTGTTTTATCAGGTGCCTTTAATATTTCTGAAGTGATTATGCGTCTACTCCCCTTTCGAAAGTTCGGCAAATGATCAGTGTACACGTTGGCGAGTTTTTCGAAGGTTTGGTCGGGAATGAGATGCAAATATATGAGGGTAGTAAAAGTTTAACATAACGCGTGATTATGGCAAAAATTGATTTGTGACGCGTGAATTTTACAGAAAGGAGAACGTGATGGTGAATTTATGAACCAGCGTGAGGCACGATTTGCCTCCTAAAATATGTGACCCGTGAATTTTTTCTTTCGTTTCGTGAAAACCTCAAAATTTACCTCAAATATCGTGCACAGGCAGGTAGCTTTGAAATTTTACCTTCAATACACGAGACGGGTGAAGTGTGGAACTTTTCAGACCAAAGCGTCTGAAATCTTAATTTAAATTGAGTTTATGTAATGTTAATTTCTTAGAAGATCGCAGATATTCACATCGTGGCTTCATTGCTTCAGACAAATGCTTGAGTATGAAACATACTCGGCGTCCTGCATGCTTAAATAGTTTTAATTCGGAAGAAAATTCTCCTTCGGGTGCTCTTTGTGGCAACCCTTTACCGAGAAAGGGCACATAAATTGAAAAGGTTCCCAACCTTGCTTAAAACAGAAAGCGCAGAAAAAATTTCTTTTGACCTTTTAAAAATCATTCTGAGGGAGCAAAGTATGGTTGTTAGGTCTGACAGACCAATATTGTATTCAATGTATTAGGCCTTAAAAATGAAAAACAAATTTAATAATGAAATGACACAGACTAAAATACCCCCTTTTACACATAAAGGGCATTGAAATGGTACTTGCTGAATTTCTAGAAAGGGGCACTATAAGTCGATGTCCTTTCAGAACGGGGTGTCTCTTTAAATACAATTTTTGGCAATGATTTCTAACCTCGGGAGCTGAGTGGCACATTTCAAACCAACCTAAGAATTCTCAGTCACCTTTCCGAAATCTGGGATGTGGCGATTTTTGTTTATAATTGACTTGAGGCTCGACGTTGAGTCAGGGTATCACCCGTAAGCCTTCTTCCCTCAGAACAAGGACGTCTCGGGGAAGTTTATTATCCGACACAAGATACCTTTATTAACATTACTCTATGAATTCAATAAAGGAATGAAACATTGAATTTTCAATCTCTTGACACTAACTTCACTTTTGCGTCAGCTTTATATCGTGTAGAGGTGACAACCGCTGATGATCAGTGGGGAACAGGGACCGACGCAGATGTTAGTATTCAAATCTTCGGAGTCAAAGGAAACACATCAGTTGTTGAACTAACCAAGCCAGGCAACCTGTTTGAAAGCGGAAAGTAAGAGTTATTTTAATCTCACAGTACTACAGATAAATTAGTCTAAGATTCCGCGAGAAGGGCCTGATTCGACAGGTAATCCATTTTTAATGGATTAGACGATAGTGACGCTTTGCACTTTAGCTCGAAACACTGATTTGGAAGGCTATGTATTCGATCATTTATTTACTCATTTATTCACCTGTTTTTTTATAATTCATGGGCCGTTTTATCCATTTGAAAAGTTGCCATTTGTTCATAACACTCATCATTTTTTATGGACAAGTGGTTTTGGGGGATGTGAACATTACGAAACACAAACGCGAAAAAAAAAACAACGAACAGATAAAAAAAATCACATAACGACAATTTCATAAACATTTTACCTAAGCAAGGAATAATGCAGCACTCAGTTGGTGATCAATAAGCCACTATGTCACATTAACCATAATTTTTTATTTAAAAGCTGAACTCCTGTAAAATTTTAATCGCTTTCTTTTTTCAGCACCGATAAATTCATTATTTTGGGAAAGGCTGTTGGTTCCCTGACAAAAGTTGGTATCAAAAGGAATGAAAAAGGACTCTTTGACAGCTGGAAATTAGCGATGGTAGGAATAATTTTTTATTTTAATATTGGCTTCAGATGCGCCAACAGTCTGACCCGACAATAATTTATTGGATACCTTCCTTTTCAGATGAATACTTTACAATCAAGCGTTGTTTCTGATTCGCTTATTAACAAGTAACTTTTCACTGGTATATGTACACCTACCAGTTATTCAAGGAACAACAGTTCACTAGAGACAACCAAATTTAGGCAAAGACCAATTTAAGAAGGGCACGATCGGGACCTTGTGTCGAATGTTTAACTTAGGAACGGAAACTCCTGATTCAAACCCTGACTGAGTCATTATGTCCACCTCTGACCGAAAAATATTCAATCGCAGTACTGATTTCTGCGTAAAAGCACCGATGGGAATCAGCAAACTCTCGGGGAAACTAGGTAAATGTGCAGGGAAGTATATACCTCCCGTTTAGCGATGATTTAGGTAACCTAAATATTTACAAAACTGAGACAAGCTCTTTTAACTGTTCTGCGAACAATATGCCAATCATGTTCCCTACTGCTAAACGTTCCTTGGACGCGTTGTTTTCATGTCGTAGGTCTCTGGCCCTCGTTTTATTGATTGTTCGAGGTGTTTGGGGCCTTAATTGTCCGCCGTCATATTTATTGGGAATTTTTTTCCTTTAGGTTACTGTTCAGCCTGCTGGATCTCTTGTTCACAAGTTTGCTTTTAACGATTGGATACCTCCCAATAAATGGGTGTACAGTTTTGGTGGACATATGCATCGCCGGGCTTTTAAGCATACTTGATTTTGAAAATCACAAGGAGGGACTTTCCTTTTCCATTATTGTAATACCTAGGGCTGATTGTATACATCTGATTGTAATGAGATGTATAAATAAAGTCATTATTCGTCTTGCAGTTCCCTGTTTAAGTAATTATTATAATTTTGTTTCGTCAAAATTTACGAGAAAAAACACGATTTATTACCTTCAAGTAGCCTGTGTAATATGCCCAGAGATACGCAGAGAAATCTTTTCAATAGTTAAATTATACATCCAGTTTTGTTAAAAAAGTTCCTTCTTCACTGAACGCAACACACAACCTTATTATTTGATCCACAATGAAAAGTGGAAATTCATCGTTCCCCTAGCAACCCCACACCGTAAGAATACTGAGATATTACATCTGTAAAGCCCATCAAAGATTACAGTGATTGATCAGTTCTTTCTGATACAGCAAGATATCAGGTGAGTTTGGTCGAACTATTATTCTTTGGTCATGTATTTACATCCTATGTCAGACCAAACATTTGAAACATTCACCAACGTGTAGACTGATCGTCTGCACAACTGGCGAAGGAGAGGAGTCGAATAATCACTTCAGAAATATTAAAGACACGGGATAATTTATATCGCAAAGGAAAGTCAATCAAAGATATCCTGATCAGAGCTAAACACTACAGATTCAGCAAACATCTGGAAAGCATTAGCAGCCTTTGGTGGATATTTCAGCACCCAAAAACCCTCACATCCCATTGGCTCACTGCTATTGTCCAAACAAGGGAGTCAATAAAGGAATCGGAACCACATTGAACGGAAATTTAGACCCACACGCATAACGGCTTTCGGAGATATAAAAACTCGAACGACAACAAAACCTTTGATTGCTCTTAGACAGTCCTTACGCAACTGACGAGATTCAGAAAGAATCGAAACTGCAATATTCACAAATGGCAGCAGTTACTCTCACAGCCGACGGAGCCAGGTGAATATCAGTTTCATAACTGACCGGTGATTTTACACCACGTGACGTAAAGTAACCGATAAAATCGCGTGAAATTAATGAGTGGATTAATAATAATAGGATGTAGGATATCGAGAAAAATCATGGACCGATTCGCTCATTGCGAGATTGGGTACGGTTATTCAACATTCCTATTTGTACTCATTGGTTTAAATTTATTTAGTTCTGCAGCATTTTTGTTTACAGCTGAGTTTGGCTAAAAATCATCCCATCTGGCACAAGATGCCTCACTTAATTGACCCTCTTATGGTACAATTACCGAATAACCTAACGAATAAAAATGTTGCCGTGGGGATTAACCACATTTCTGACGTGGAACAAACCATTTTTCCCACAGGGGTCATGCGTGGGCCAGTTACCGGTCTGGGTTGAACTCTCCCAGTAGTAATAGGTCTTCAACTCGGTAGTGCTCTTGGAATAGTACAGATGAGGACCATAATTAGAGGACGATTCTTTGGTAAATATACGTATCTCGTCAGGAGCAACATTTGGGCAGACAGTGGCGATATTTTTTATTACTTTACAGCTCAGGCTGCCAGCTTTGTAATCCACCAGGCTTCCGATTCCTTCTTTACAAGCGATCCAGTGGTTGATGTTGGACTTGACCATGAACTCGTTGCCTATTTGTTTCCAGAATTTAAAGTTCATGGCACCCAACTGTGTCTCTTTCAAAGGTACCTTCGTCGATATCGGAATTTCCCCTTCCGCTGGCCATGAGGGACGTGGTGTGACTGCATTACTACCGTCCGCAAAGTTGCTAGGAAGAACAAACAGATGAAAAAGAAGCACATGACGAAATAAAACAAAACAGAGTAAGAGTAGATCGGAAAAGATATCCCAGTTATTTTATCCAAATAATTTAGCCTGACGATCTTACGATGATCTATTCCTTGTTCGAATTTGAATTGTTATCGATTGTGAGTAACAAATTAGCTTCCCGAAAATAGTGGCTTTGGTGTGTTGATCTTATCGTATCGACATTATCCAAGCACATCAATATCTGTTTTTTTTCATAGTAGCTGTGGCTACATACTGATAAATGTATTACGAGATGCAATCAATTTTTTCGGAACCAAGATTACAAGGCTCCTGATATGCCCATTGTTTTTTTCAGGAACTATCATAAAAATCTGCCCTCCTTTTTCTCTGATATTTCCTCATAAATTCCTCTTCTCTCAGCGTACATGAGAGCTTCCTCGTTCGTCCAATCCCACTTACGGATAATTTGTAAAGGTGTAACTATACACTAATGTCCAGCCTCCTCCATCAGTTTCTTGGTCACAGTAAGCACGGAATGCTTTTCCACCAGATGGGTTTATCCAGTACAGTCCTGACCCTCCGTGAGAATTTTGTTCTTTAATAACCTTACACGACTTGCCAGGATGATCCTCTTCTTCTCCAATATTTATTGGTGGAGCTGTTGTAGGACATGAAAAGAAATGTTATGGAAGCATTAAATGGTACAATAAGGAGACCATTTCCTTTTTATGGTCTCTACATAACCTTTGTTGCTGAGGAAATTCATCTCAAGTTGCTGTAGATTTGGATCATTTCTTCTCCTAGGAATGATTTTGCGTTAAGAGAAAATAAAAGGCTCATCTTCTCTTGGCTAATGGTAGCGCGTATTTTCTGGAATGTTTAGATTTAGATGAAATAAGCGCTCAGTCAGAAGTCAACATCAGAAAACCTCATAACTCAATGTTGGTTATTTAAAATCCTGCTGTGATTTTCTACAACGGAAGGCATCCATGAATATCTTAAGCGATTTTAACTTATAACAAAAAAAAGCCTGAATAAAGAACCAGAATGCAGTTCAGTTCGGCAGCAGAGCTTGCTCGCATTAAGAATACCTTCACATAATGAAACAGAACTTATAGCAAGAAGAAAGAAAACGAGTAAAACGGATGTAAAAATAGGTAGGAGGAAGGAGATAAAGAGGGCAGCTGAAGGGGAAGAATCGAATAAACATAACATCTGAACGTCCGTAAGTCGGACTTCAGACTTATGGCGCTTGTTGCACTTGCAAAGTGTGATACAGTTAACAGAGGCTAATAAAAGTACTTGATTCACGGATTACTTCCTAATCAACATACCTTTGGAGGGCTTCTCTCTTCCTAATTCAACAGGAAAGAAAGAAAACAAAGATAGTTAATATTTGGTTTCAAGTACTCGAAAGCGATTGTCAACCAGTGCATAGTCTTGTTTCTAAATCATTGAATTTTCACCGGGAAAATTATCGTTCTCAGTTGATTTAGTAATCAATTTATGCCGATCCTCCACAGGCGAGGTTTGATCCATTTTCCTTGAAAAAAGGGAGGAGACTTTAAAAGGTGAGGGGGTTATCAGAGAGATTGTAGTTTTCTTACTCTTACTGCCACAGTAGCGATAACTCCCAGACGGCGCTGCAGGTAACTGATAAATGAGGAAATCTTGTGGACATCTTTTGACCTTGACAAACACCTTTTTAGCACAACAATTGTTGCCTTCATCGAAACAAACTTTCTTTTTGACAGTCTTTCCAATATTCTTGGGATTAGCACCAAGCATAAATCCGGGATGCATTGCACCACATGCCGGCCCGGCAACACACTCGTTTTTCTTCAACCTGTAGGAAAAAGCGGATGAATATGATGTGGGTTTAAGGTTTTGAACTACAAGTAGTTTTGTTGGATGGAGAAGTAAATGATAAATTCTTACACGTAGGCAAGGACATCGATTATCTCGGAGCTTATTCCAGTGCCCGTAGCCTGAAGAGACCAAGAGTATTGTTAAGAGAAGTAAACCTATAGGTATTTCGTGAGGGTTACCTGAAAACTTTCCGCTACCAATTTATTTCCCTGGATTGAGAGGCATTGTGATAGAAGAGTGTCTTCTCTAAGAGCACAAAACCTATGACCTAAGCCTAGACTAAATTTCAGATTCTAGAATGGTAACCATTTATATTAGCCACTGTGTTATTAACGCCGTTTCGTTCGAGCACCCTACTAGGAAGGAATCGGAGAGTTACCTGTTTGCCAATTTGAATCCTGCATCATCGGTAAAACGGTACCATTTTTTAGGCTTCAAATCCGCTGCGTCGCTTTTTCCTTTATCTTGAGTGAATTTCCTCTCTCTGTCAGATTCGGTTAGCTTTTTGTATGACGAACAAGGGTCTTTTCCTACAGACAAGGTCTCTCAAATTCAGTTGCAAATTATGTCCTTATTTAAATGATATCACACCTGTTCCCTTTCAAAGCAAGACGGTGCAAGGGATACCACATATGCTAGCTCAATACCACTTCTGTCCATCAGACTTGAAAGCTTTTTAACGAAGAATCTTAATAAACGGGGATTAACCTTTTTTTATTTTTTACTTCGCTGTGTGATCAGTTGAGAAAACTCTGTCTACCCTCGCAACAAGTTAAATACAGTGAAAATATTGGTGTTTTCCTTCGCTTCCGGAAGTTTGCTTGTTTTTACTTCGAATTCTGTTACCCTCATTGGCTCCTTTTGAAACACTCCTTTGTTCTTACTCAGTCGGCTTAACTTAACCGAGACGAAATTTGTTCTACAAACAAATATCATCAATACAACTGAAGAAAACACCTAATGCTGTTACCTCCTTTGATTACAGGAATACGTGATATGAGGAAAACCATCAAAAAGATCTTCAATGTCATTTCAGCAGTATCTGGTTGGAAGAGAGCAATTGCAAAAGATATTAGGAGTAAATATTAGGTTAGATCTGTGTGACAGTTATGCAATGCTCAAATCCAGAACCCTTTTGTCGCATTTATGCTACATTTCTTGCTGCTTTTAAACCTTGTTCCCAATTTCTATTTTCGGAGGCAACTCAATTACTTTGTGGCTGTAACAACGTCTCAGTTCTCTTATAAATAACTGAACCCAGGAGACCACCGATAATTCTGTCTTGTACGGGCCCCTGTTTGGGCTTTGTTGGTACACTCCAAGTCAAGATGACTGATTTTCAAGTCCTACTGTAAAATATACGTTCAAAAAGAACGCCCACACTAGGTTCGCGAAAATCTTCCGCCGCTTTTTTTGGAATATTAATCTTATCCTAAAGTACTTTAATTTG